AGCAGCCGAGTGAGACTCCAACTCAAAAAAAAAAAAAAAGTGCCGAATAAGCAAAGACCCTGTCATTTGCCAAGCAATGCCAGAAAATCCGAATGAACCAGGAAGGGAATTCCTTCACACCTGACCTCCAGGGCTGAGGTGTGCGGGAGGGACTTTAAGGCTCTGAGGAGTTGTCTGGTACACGGAGGGGTCGCCTGTGATGGGGTGTCAGGTGGAGATGGAAGCCCCCAGGTCAGCCGGTGTACACATGTTCTGGATAAGGGACAATGGCACGAGAAGAGGCTGGTCTGGCCAAGTGCCACTGCTCACTGTGGCCTTCTAGACTGAAGTTAAGGAGTTTAAGGGGAAGCATTTAGGGTTCCTCTGGCCACTTTTTTCTCAGCTCTGCTGCTGACCTGGCTTGGACACTGGGGCCTATGTCCTCCGAGCTTAGCAGGCTGAGTACCTGGGCTGCGTGTCTTGAGGTCATAGGTCCCCTCCTGCTGGCTCTCAACCTCCCCTTTCTCCTCCCCCTGCTTGCTTTCCCTGACAGAAACGAGACAGGCAGTGGTGTCTATACTAGTGCTGTCTAGACTCGCGGATCAGGAGATGCAGTGGTTTTGACTGAGGGCTAGGGAGGCCGCGGTGTGCTGGGGGTCCTGGCCCTGGACTGGGGGAGCAAGCCGGCAGGAGATGAGGCTGGCTGTCAGTGCTCTGCCCTGCTCTGCTCTGTAGGGCCTGTCTGTCCCTTCCAGGTGCCAGGTGTGGCCCCTCTGGGGTCCCTAAGTGGCCAGGCTCCCCTGTATCCCCAGAAGGCCTCCCCTCACATCCTGGGCAGGAAGGAGGGGGTGTCTGAAAGAGAAGCACGGCGCTCTGCTCGGAGGAGGGGTTTCCCTACTGTGAAATAGCGCGAGATCAAGCCGATCTCAGTAGACCACTTCTTCCCCTCCATAGCCCTAGAGGTATTGTTTTCGTTTTTGAGTTGGAGTCTCAGTCTGTCGCCCAGGCATGCTCACGGCCCCCACAGCCCCGACCTGCTGGGCTCAGGCAGTCCTTCTGCCTCAGCCTCCCAAGTAGCTGGGATTACCGGCACATGCAAGCATGCCCGGCTTTTTTGGTTGTTGGTAGAGATGAGGTCTTTCTGTGTTGCCTAGACTGTAGTTCTTAGTTTAAATGTGTTCCACTAAAAAGTTGGGGTTCTGTTTTCAGCATTTTATCAGTAGTAGAAAGACCATCACTTGTCTCCTCCTGGAGGTGCTAACTGTGCACTGCAGGATGGGACCCACCCTGTGGACTCGGAAGAAGTGGGTTTCTCCTTCCCAGAGACCCAGCCCCCCAGTCATACATAGGCTGTGTCGCCCTGACCACCAGAGGAAGTCAGAGCAGGGCAAGGCGTTCCAGGTCCTGGGCCGGCTGCCTGTGCTGCCTTTGCTGGTGGCGTGGAAAGCAGGTGTTTCCCGCTCAGCAGATAGGGCCAAGGAGCCCTTGGGTCTTACCCGCACACGCCTTCCCTGGCCTGCCAGGCTTGTTCCCTGGGAACAACACGTCTCATGAAGGCCGCGTGTACATCCAAGTCGCTGATTCCATCGACTTCCATTGCCCGCCCCGTCTGTCTCGACCGCCTGGCTTTTTTTCCCTTTTCCCTGTGGTCCCTAATGTGTGCAGGAAATACTGTCTGGAAAGATAAGGTAGGGCCAGTGTAGGCCCAGGGCAGTCAGGATGCAACCTGGGCTCTGAGGATGCTTCGGGGAGAGACAGGCCCCTGCTGGGGTCTCGGGCTGCCCTTGCCTGTGTGCTAATCTTCTGGACGACTTTAAAGATACCGTTCTCCTGTGTCAGCGAGAAGTGTGACCTGTGGGACAGTGTTCCTTCTTGAGTGCTGCCTGTGTGGCTGATAAGGGCATTCCAAAGGGCGAGGCTGGTGCCCTCAGTTCCCTGGGCTGCCTACCACCTGCAGGTCATGCAGTGCCTGGGAGCGGGGTCTACCCACGGGGTCTCCGTTCACTCCCAGCATTGTCATTAGGTGGCTGTGAACTAAGCTGGAACTTTTGTGCCTCAGTGTCCCCCATGACAGCTGTGTCAGCAGGGCGGTGTTGTTTCGACTGGAATTAGGAGTTCGGAGACCTGGCCACGGCCACGTCAACAAACACCATTGAGTTATCACTGCAACTGCATCTGTGAGGAAGCGACTGCCTTTCCGATGAGGAAACAGAGGCCTAGGAAAGTTTAAGCCATTAGCCTGAGGTGACACACAAGCTGGCAAGTGTCAGCGCTAGAGTCTGAGCCCAGGCAGGGGCTGTGCTCACCCCACAGTGTAGCCGAGCAAGGGTGCCTTGTCGTGAAGACCGTGGGTGAAGGAGTCAGGAGAGCTTGGGTCAGACAAATCTTTGTCCCTGTTGGGTCGCCCGTGCGTCTTCTGAAATACACAGAGGCCACGCTCTACCTCTCTCCCAGCCCAAGGCCAGGTTCAGAAGCGGGTCTGCGGTCTGAGGCTTTGAACAACAATACTGGTGCCCTGTGACCTCCCAGAAGTGACCTTTCAGGCCACCCAGGGAGCAGCACGAGCGTGGTGGGTCCCCTGGGTTCTCCCTTGCCCTCTGCCCACTGCCCGTGGCTCCCAGCCTCC